AGAGAGAGAGAGAGAGAGAGAGAGAGAGAGAGAGAGAGAGAGAGAGAGAGAGAGAGAGAGAAAGACATCACTATTGCAAATCTACAACTATTATCGAATGTTCTAATATGCGTTCTTGTAAATCCTGATTCAACGATTTTAATCGATTTTGTGTCGTCCTATTTGATTTGAAATATCATAGATTATTTATCCGAGTGAACTATGATACAATGTGAATGATAAAAACCTAAGGCATTTAAATTGATGCTAATCTACTCCGGTCACTTGCATTAACAGTATATAAAGGGCCAAGCTAGCTTTGGGCACATCCACGCAATCCTCCACTCATCTACGCTTTTTCTTTTTCGATCTAATGCCTTTCTTTGTGGCACCTAAGGTTGATGTAACACAACCTACGCTGCTAGTTTTCTCAACGTATTCCTTTCTATCGGATAATTCTCCTTCGAGAACATCCACGGATGCTGCGTTACCATTAGTATTCAATTCATCGGGTGAACCAGAACGTTCTGGTAAGATTTCTTGGTCCGAATCATTTCTTCTTTTCTCTAGTTGTTGACATTCAGTCTCAGAAGAATTGGACAAAATTGTTTCGATTGTTGAATTAACATTTGTTTCTTCTACTTTTTCAAAATGAATTTTTTCTTTTTCCATCATTATTATCCCTTCTTCTGCTTCTGTTTCTGCTTCTGCTGTTTCTTCTTGTTTTTCTTCTACTTCTACTTCTACTTCTTCTTCTTCTTCTTCTTCTTCCATGGTATTAACTTCAACTTTTTTATCTTCTTTATCTTTTTTTATTGTGTCGTCATCTAAATTTTCATATATTTGAGTAGACAACGTACTTTGAATTTTTAATTTTTCTTCTGATTTTTCCTCTACTTCTACCAAAGACTCTAGATCAGATTCCTTACGAGAAATTTCACTTTCACTAGAAGGTGTATTCTTTTTCTTAAATATCGAACTCCACAAAACTCTAGGAGCTGTTGTACTTGTTTCCTCAGGTGGTTTTTGCAATTTTGTTGTCGTTACCTTTCGCGAACAACAGAACAATGGCTTTGTATGATGAGTACTTGTTGATGTAATCGGATTTGCTATTCTTAATGTTGCATCTCTTGGCTTGGACACAATTGGGCTCATTGATTTTATACGAGATGGTAATCTCCGATTCCAGTTCATTCTTATTTTGCCCATCGAATTTATGTCCATTATTTCAATATCATTATAACCTTGTGACCCACGTGTTATTTCTACATTATCTTCAATTAAATCCTCGTCAACAAGATTTAATTTGGTTCCCCAAAATTCATTGACCGTAGATCCCCAGATTTCCTTTACTTCAATATCCTTCTTATTTTTATTTCTTTTAATTTTACACGTTTGTTTAGCACTGTTATCAACCCATGGAATATCCTTTGGTTTTTTAACAATTTTAGATTTACTACTTGCTTGTTCCAATTGATTACTTTCTAGTACAGTTGTAAAATTACTAGGAATTTTTGTCTGTTGGCTGGACGTTGATACCACAGTCGAAGGATCAATGTTACTCTGAGTTTTTTCATTGATAACTACAATATCCTTTCGTTTTTTCGTACCTTTTAATTTCCTTCCTATTTGTTGCTCTCCGCGAATAGTTTCTGAAGATTTAGCTGCAGAACTGGAACGTTTCTCGGTGACTGCCCAGTGCTGTGCTTCTTCTGTCATGTTTTCATCTAAACATAGATTCCATGGAATCCAATTATCCATAGGATCAACCATAACAGTTACTTCTACGTCTTCAGTAGTGTTATCATCGATAACAAATATATTTTTTCGTCTTTTAATTGGTTTAGATTTGGTAACGGCTCGCATTGTTTCTTGCGAGGATGATTTAACATTTAAATTTAATTCGGTATCCATTGTGGTTTTTGGACAATTTATTTCTAATGTTGATGAACAAACATCCGAATGTTGTACGTGTTCAAGATCGTCATCAGAGGATAATGTATGCTTGCTTTGTCCCTTAGAAGACATAGAACAATCCTCGTCAGATTTTTCCACGTTGCTAGATGTTGTTGCTAAATTGTATTTATTATCTAGCATTTCTGAAAGTTCGTTAATATGTATATACTCAAGATCGTCATCGGATATTGTACTTTTACTATTTTTCCTTTGAGTAATAGGTGAAGAATCAGAATAACTAGGTAAATCTATTGATTTTTCTGAATTTTCTTTATCAGATTCACGAACACGTAATAATTCAGAACGTTGAATATGTTCAATCTCTTCATCCGAGTGATCGGACACCATAGTGTCTTTGATGGGACAATTACTATCTACCAAATGATATTCCATAGAATTGAAATCGTCCGACGGAGTTGTTTCGTTTTCTTCTTTACATTCGATGTTCATAACACCATCGGTATTAACATTAGGTTTATCTAATTCTACAAATGATTTATCAGTACCACATGAATGTTTTGATTTAAATTTTGAACTTTCAGTTATCTTCTTATCCGAATTCTGATCTATTTTCGAAACACGTTCATCGCTCGACCCACATTTATTATCTTTCAATGTATCACAATGTTTTTTACCAATACAATTATTAGTTGTATCTACGCACCGAGTAGGATCCTTTACGATAATGCTATCATCTTTCTCTTGTACAATATATTTGTCAATTCGTATTTTAGACTCTTTATGAGATTGTTTTTTTGAAATAATTTTCTCATTATCCTTATTATTCTGATGTCGTGAAGATGAGGAAGAAGAGGGAAAGGAAAAGGAAGTTTGTTGACCCTTTTCTCGCATTAGATTAACTTTATCAGATGACAATTTGTTTTCCATTAATACGACGCTTTCCTCGTCATAATTAACAACGTATTTAGCTTTGGCTAGATTTAATTCTTGAGTTTCGTGTGCATGCTGCTCATATTTATTACATCTTTTAGATCGAGCAGTACTCTCTTTGGCTTGTGTCATGGGACTGCTTGGGATCTCACCTTGTTCGGCACAAAGACTCAGCCCACTTGGTACGTCCTGAAATGCATCCTCTCTCTCGAAATCTATCCCCGCTGATTTCATAGATGCTACTTCAACGCAAAGTTCCTTTCTTTCTTTAACATCACGAATATTTTCATCCAGTACGCTGTCGATAGCTGGCTCGCTTGCAGAACGCATTTCGGCACATATTTCTGTTAAATCACGTAATGTTTGACAACAAGATGGTGGCTCAAGATCACCAAGCGAGGCCGGACCCTCTTCTGCGCAAACACTCCTCGGTGCTTCTGGAACTAGACTCTCCTCCGCGGAATCAAACTCTTGACTAGAGCTGACATCCTCTTCGTCAGCTGACACTGTTATCACGGTGCCAAGAGGGTTGACGACTTTAGTTACTGGCTGACCCACCCTCTCAAATACCGAGCGCCTCCCTGATAACAGAAAAGCCATTGGCAGGTATCAAAATCGAGTTACGTACTTCTTTTTTCTTTTTTATCTTATATCTTTTTTGCTTTTTATGCATTTACATTATTTACTTTTGTCTTAGTTAACGTTTCTTTTTTTTTTCTAATATTTTGGGGATTCTTTTCTTTTTTTTTAGAGAAATAGAAAGAAATATATATATATGTA